AGCACCCCCCCCCCCCCCGCCCTTCAGTGCTTAAAGAACAGTGCACAGTTTTCCTTTACATACTTTGTACGCCAAGACTTGCTATGTATACGGTCTTACTGTGACAGAAAGTTTCCAGGTTTAGATTTTTAACTAAAACGATAATTCATCAGAGTGAATTTAAGCTTATTCTTCAGGGAATAAATTTGGTAGTCAAGTCACAGATTTGTTTGCAGCATACGTCCAGAATGGGCTATCGCTCTAAACCCTGCATTTGCCACCTGATGGCAGTTGCGTGTATAACTTCATCTAGTAAGAGAGTCGGGATCATGTTAGAATAACTTGGTATTTCTGTCCGTGACTTTTTCCCATTACCTTATTTGTTTACTGCTGACTTGTTCTTGCGGAATAGGCGCAAATGCAAATCGATCAGCACAGTGTCAGAACTGGAGAACAGTTTTCTAGCTGCAAATTTTAGTAAGATAGAGCGTGCTGGAAAAGTGCTTACCTATTAGCGATGACTATTAACATACTTAAGCTGCACTCTTTATACCAGACTTTGTTTCCTCAACATCTTCCTATTCTTGCAGTGCATTAGAACATGGCTTAAGCAACATTCAAGTACCTGCCCTATCTGCCGCGTTCATGCCCTGTTACCTGAAGACTTCCCCGAGCTTCCTGCACGGAACAAACATGCCTAAACCCTGTTTTGTTTGAACACATTATAGTAAAAGATGCAAAGTGGCTGCAGAATAACCGCTGTGATAAGGAACAGAAACATGATGCCTAGAAAGAGACAGAACCCTGGATTTATTGAAAACGGTAGTAGAACTCAGACCGATTCAGTATTCGACACTTAGCATTAAGCTGCAAGACGCCGGTTCTGCCGCGGCACCTGCAGAATCAAGTTAGCATACTCCAAGATCCAGCACTTTCCCTGGCTGTTGCCTAAGCGTGCGAAGCCGATGTAGTTCAGAGACCAGCAGCACACAAAACGGGTAGGGATTTTCGGCTAAGGGCTATTTAAGCTCTACTGTATCTACTTTTCTCAAAGGATGGCGCCTAATTCCTGTAAAGAGGGGGCTTTCCTTCAGAGCTTACACCACACTGAAAATAAATTCCAGTACCAAACAAGTAGGTGACCTGAATGACAGACTAGCAGAATTCGGAACAGCCGAGACATTACCTTCCTCTGGAATAAACAATTACAATTTAACTGCAGGATTCAAATCAGGCTTGTTGTGACGATTATGGATGCGGCTCATCTAATTGCAGCTCCTTTCTCTGCATAAATCCATAGCTAACAACTTGCATCGTTTCGAGAATGACTTTTAGTAATGTTTTGAAGGAAGAATTTTTAAGTATTCATGTGACTCTCTCTGCGTATCATCGAGTTGGAATACCATGGCTCAACTCTTTAATCTCAAAATACAGTTTGAATTTCCCTCATCGTTGAAGAGCTGACTTGTTTAAATCAGAATTACAGGATTTTTATTTTTGGCGAAGCAACGCTGCATCTGTATTCTGTGCATGGATGTTCATCAACAGCGTGAGGTACAGAATACAAACAGCTGAAAGACTCGTTATCCTACTGCTTTAAAAGTCTGAGCTTGCCAGAGTTCCTTCATCACTGTAAAATTTGTCTCAAATGGCCAACAGACCAGGACTAGAGCGTGTACAGCTTAACTGCTCTGAAAATAGAGTGTGACTGTTGTTTGGATACAAGCAGTATTAAATTGATTATATGAGATTAAGTTAGCTAATTCTAGGGCTCGTTTATTCCCCCAAGTGATATGTATCCTCCAGATGAAGTTTTAAACTATTCTGTGATTAATCAGTATATTAATTGGCACTTGGATCAAAAATAAAGTTACTACTGCAGCTGATGTGGGTTTTTTGTGTAATATTTTTGCTAAGCCTGAGGTATTGGTGAGTAATCTACTATATGCTAGAGAGCTAAGGCGCCTTGCTGCCTGAAGAATTAGGTACAGCACTTGCATCCTTTTCAGCTTCCATTATTTTCTCGGGGTGGGGGATACAGATACATCGTCGCCTTAGCTTTTCACAAAAGCAGCTTATGTCCTTGGCACTCGGGACGCTTCTCCAGCACAGCAGTGTCCTTGACCTGCCACGCAGTGGCAAAGCAGTCCCACACATGCCGTATTGGACAGCATTCTCCAAATCGAACACAGCGTGCCTCGAGGTAGTAAGGGTAAGCTGGCTGTGGAAACAGGGCCCGGCCTTAGCACTGGACTGGTATTTACATATGCTTGCGTGCTACCAGCCAATCTTGTTTTTCTTGTACCCACAGCACAGGCAGGATCCCAAATAAACAGGATGGTTTTTGATCTGTGTTCCTCTTCTCTTCCCTGACTCCCATAAGCTGGAAGGATTTTAGTGATTTCCAGAGATAGTTCGTTCACACCTTGGAAAGGGACCATTCCTGTACCGGGAGCGGGGCAGTCGAGCAGGCTGTAGTTCCGCACCAAGGGAGCCGAGCTACTCTGGATGCTGGGGCCCGAGGCAGGACGAACACCAGTCCACCTCTCCAAATAAATAACTTCTGAAGGTAGGCGGTGACAGTGCCACTTTGAGCAGCAGGTGGCACTCGTACAACATCATGTAGACCAGAAAGAGGGGCTTTTGTTTTCCAAAAATCATCCTGTACGATTTCCTGATCTTAGAGAAGTGTTAAGTTATTGAAAATCTCCGCCACTGTCCCCCCCCCCAAGACTGCTCTAAGACACTGACATAAGAATTTCAGATGTTTACTCCTAAAATATAGATGATATAGAACCAGGGCCAAACCTCCAATTACATTTTCCTACTTGGCAATGCTGCTGGATAAAGCTAAAGGAAATTATTTTTGGCAGTTTTCTTAATTGTGTCTGTTCATGTTGTCATCTTTACACTCATACTTTATATGCTTAACCTGCCTGCACCCCACATAACGGTATACGGAAAATTCACAATTAGAATGAAATTGTGGCTGTTCTGTTAACTTAAAACAACATGAAAATCTACAACCTGTTTGTGTTGGGAAGGTTATGTCTTGCTGAAATAGTTTTCCTATATTGTAACTATACATCTTAAAGGAACTAACCCTTTAAGGTATTTACCTTAAAGTGTAAATGCCAGGAAAGGAGTAAGTTAAGTTAAACAAGTGAGAATGTTAACCCACCTAATTAAAGAGTGACTGTCTCCCTTGGAACGGTTCTTCAGATAATGACAAGTCATGTCCTAAAGACACAAGGTGCCACAGCGCAGAAGTTTTTAATGCAGTTTTTCCACCATCAGCAGAGGCTGGTCCCCAGCAATTCAGTGGTGTGCTTTGTCACATGACAGACATTTTTTTCCCATCAAAACTGAGCTGTAGAAGTCTTATAAAAGGGAAGATGGTATAACGCAAAGAGTAAGTATATTCTCAAACTAAAAACTTTTGACTGATCTTCTTTTTCAGTGCTATTTTACACGAATCGCAAAGATAAAGTAAGGGCATTGATTTTCTCATCCAGAGAAGAGCCCAGGGAAAAACCACACGCAAAACAACTTCAGTTCTAAGCACTCCTCCAATACAGACGCATATTCCCAATTTGACCAAAATACCCTTGGTGTTATTTCACATTCGTCTTGCAACGTTCATCCCACACCACCACCTTGCGTTGTTGCAGCACCATTTATTACACCTTCAAAGACACTATTCGGTATTATATTACAAGTCCCATACCCTCCCCCCAGCATATATACACCATGTATAACAAGACTTACTCAGGTTAAGAAGTCTTCGAAGGAAGAAGTGTTACGAAATGAAATAAGGGGAGAAACTTACTACATATTCCAGAAGTTGTAGCAATATACAGAATCATTCCTTCAGGATTTGAGAAAAATGGGGGGAAACATGGTGGTTGTTCATTCCTTCAGGATTTGTCTGAGAAAAATGGGGGGAAACATGGTGGTTGAGGTCAGAGAGATGCCTGACAAGGCTGTCTGGATAGATACATCCACGTAGGCTATCGCAAGGCAGGCAAAGTCTTAGCAAGGTTTACAGAGAACTGAAAGCACAAGAACTACCAGCAGGGAGAAGGAAGCAATGTGTTTTCAGTTCAAGTAAGATGTGGATAAAATTTCACTTTGTCTCTGAAGAATTTTGTCCTTTTTCAGTAAATCCTTAAGTAATTCTCCTCTGACTATTTACATCCTGCAGAGCTTCAGTGGGAAGTTCTCTGTGATGAGATGATCATCATGCAGAAGGACAACAACGTTAACTTCAAACTCTGGAAGAAGGGGAAAAAAAAAAAAAAAAAAAGGAGTTCCATATTAATCTGAATTGTAGCAGTAGGATGGGAGGCAGGCAGTTCCTGCTCCCAGACACAGCACTGCACAGGGCTCTTCCAAGCCGTTTCAGTACCCTGGGCTTTCCCCTGTGGCAGGGATGAACAAGGTGCTCCAGGCATCCCAGACCTTGGACTGTTCCTAGAGAGCCTTGGCTTGTTCAAATCTGTGGGATGCCTCAGGATTCATTTCCATATCGCTGAAAAACTACAACATCTGGCCAACAGGCAGAGTTCAGACATCTAAGATTAAAATGTTTTGGGAAAAGACGCCTCACACCCGTATGCGTTGTTTAGAAGCACCAAACTGGAAGAGTTAAGGAAAAGACTCCTCCCCTGCCATCAGCATGTAACACAGCCGTGGAATCCTGCATTATGTATGGCCTTACGACATTAAACGCCAAAATACAATATACCTGCAAACTATGAAAACCATTTTTCAAGAGAAAAATCTACTCTTTAAATACTGTATTGTGTTGCTCAAAACCAAAATCAATGTCAGATCTATAACCAATCCTAAATGGGGACAGAATACAAAGTCAGGTGGAGTTAATAAAGGAAGGGAACCAGAGATCAAAATAAACTGAAAATACTTGTCCTTTTTTATAAGATACAGTTACGAAGATTCTAAATATCTTATATGTATCTTATAAAAGACTGTTCTTATAAAAAAGAGTAGATACTTCACTAAAGGTAGCCATTTGTCACTGTGAATTACTATTTATTAGCTAGAAATGGCAAAAAGTAGAGAAGAATATTATTTTGGGGAAAATCGCTGTACGTAGCAGGTGCAAAAATGCTCTTGGGGGAACAGATAAACAGGTAGGCAAAGCTGAAAAACTAGTTGTGCACATTTGTCCAAGATACACAGCAGAAAAGTAGGAGGGACTTCAGTTTGGGAGGGATCCTAAAGGCGGGGACTTGTAGCTTCAATCTGATACGATAAGAAAAACCAAAAAAACCCAAAACAAAACACCCCAACAGATCCCAGCAGAATGAAGGGAAGAAAAACAGGCCAGCAAAGAGAATTTTTGCAGTAATTATTTGAACAAGTGAGGAAAATCCTAAATTTCAGGTGTTTGTTAATGAAAATGGTGGATTTTGGCAACAATAAGCAGGAAGAAGCAGCCGGTGTAGATAAAGAAAAGCAAAGTCACATACAGCCTAACCTTACTTTTTCTGCTTCTGAGCCTGTGCAGCAGGAGAATGGGAAACAAAAAGGAGAGGAAATGGAAAGGGGGGTTCTTGCTGGTGGTGAAAAGGAGGAAGGGGTCATCTTGGCATTTTATTCTTGGGCTATTACTCAAGTGTTTAATCACACGTAATTTTTTGGCAGAAAAAAAAAAAACCTGCCATTACACAGCTTCTCCTGTCCCTTTACCGTATAATTCTATTAGTCAAAAGTAGCTTAATAGTTGCACAGCTGTTTTTAGTTAGAAGTATTTGGGCTGTATTTTCTCAATATGAAATACAGCAGACTGCAGTCCTGTTCAGGAAGCCTCTACAGGGAAACAGATGGATGTCCTTCGTTCTTCTTGCAGTGCGGACGGCAAATTATCCCGTTACCTGCCAGAAGCTAAAGTGAAACTAGAAACTTATCTCAGACGAAAGACGCCAGCACAGCATGACGTCCTACGCACTTACCAACTTTGAAGTTTGTTGTTTCCAGGGTAGGGCAGGTGAACAACCTGGGGAACACCATGTATATAGGAATTGGTAGGCCCCTGCAGACATCCCCATCAGCGATCTGAATATTCTGTATCTCTGTGGCATCTCTGGCGTAACCTTCCGCGCACCCTGGTGAAAGTGGGAAATTCAGAGGGAGAGGAGAGGAAGGGAAAGGGAGAAGAGAAAGCGGTGGCCAAAGTTTAAAACAAAGATACACCGGGGCTGGGGGGGCAAAACATTTTGCCCTTTGGCCTGCAAGTTTTCACATTAGCACTCCGAGTTAAGGATCACCGAGATTACTTAAATTCACGTTTGGACTGTTGCACCTAAAGTGCAAAACAATTTTTTGCAAGTCTTTTTAATTGTATGGCTCTTGACAATCTTTCACATTTAAGCTGAAGGAGCGCGAGTGGTAATTACTGCAGCCTATACGCATTCTGTTTACAGAGAAACTTACCACAGGTTTCCACACGTACTAACTGCAGCTCGATACTTTTGACTGCAGCCTCTGCGTTCTCCACTACCAGCTCCCCTGTTAGCGGCTGTGTAATGATACAGTTTGTAGAACTGAGATGACCTCTGATGAGAAATTTTGGAAGTGAAGCTCTCTGAAAAGGGGGGGGGGAGACACAGCTGTAAGAACAGACTAAGAAAAAAACACCTTACAGAAAGACAGTTATCAAAGTAGACAGGAAATCCCAAAAAGTTGGAAAGTTAAGAACTCAAAAGTTCAGAAGTGCCTCAAGTAACCTAAATAATATAACTCTTTAAATACGCATCCTTATGCGGATGCATTAAGATACCTCTTACCACCCTCCCCCCGACATGCATCCCCCCTACTCGTTCCATCCACAGGAACATTTTTCCTGGGATGAACTGGCAAAACTTGGCTATTACAATTAATCCAGAAGTCGGGAACCACATGGCGAAGGAGGTAGGCTGGCAGGAACTAACAGGATAGTCAAGTTAAATCAGCTGGCGGTGCTTTAGAGAACTGCATTCTGGTCCCATTTTGTTACGGATTACAATATAGTCTGTCGTTTCAGTGATTTTCCCACCTTTTTAAACTTCTCTCATGGCCACTATTGGGAGGGAGGACAGGCATTTAAAAATCTTCATTTAATGCCAGAGGTAGCATACTGCTTATGTACCAAGACACCAATTAAGGGCAATTAATAAAGAGCTTAATTTGAATAAAGGATCACACTTCTAAAGTTTTCTTAAGAGCAAGCATGGTTCCTACTTTTTAAGGAAGGAGCGGTAAGAATAGCTGATCGAGGACGACAGTCTATAAATCTATAAACCAGTTTCCATAAAAGACCAGACCAGAGCAGGGGTTGTGCTCCCCCTGCCCTCCCCTCTTTCAGGCCAGCAGGCACCACAGATACTCTCTGCCAGCAGAGAAACTCATATGCCAGAAGCTCCAATTACATTTCAAGTCCTGGCGGGAGGCATCCTGAAACACTCAAGTTTTCTACCCGCATCTTCAGCTCATATCTTCTCCATCCAACTTTCTTCAAACTCTTTGAGCATCCTGCTCTAACCTTCCCCTTCTTTTGCAAGCCTTATTCTTCTCTCCCTCCTTGATTTTTTGTTACTGACATCTTTGATGTTAGCCCCTACCTTCCAACCATCTGTTCACGCTTGCCTGTGCCGTCGGATTCCCTTGCCCGGGTAACTGATTTTCCCTCCTTCCAAACCAACTCTCTTGTCGCAAATTTTTTTTTTCTCCCAATCTGTTTGTTTTGCTTCTTAGTCCTGGCTGCCAGCAGCAATGGCAGAAAAGTTGTCCTCAGCTATTGTTTAGACTGTTTCACTCAGATACCCAACACCTCTGCAGAATTTAGCCATTGCACTCAAAACAAATCTTCGGGGGAAATAAAGAGAGAGGAATTTTCATGTGTTTAGTAAACGTGACCTCACTTGGGTATTTTCTCCAAACTTAAATAACAGAAGTTACATCCCTGACAAAACCACCCTATGAAATACTGAGCCCTAATAACGTATTAGTAAAATGCTTTTTGTTGTATGATCCCTCGCAGGTTCTTCTCATCACCACTATGAGTAAACACAGAGTTGCTTCCCTGCTTCACAGGGACATCATCATATAGCTATCCCCTGAAGTAGAGTGGTCAGGAACCTAAGAGACAGAGATAAAAGGAACTTGCGGAACAAGAACTCCAGGCCATTTTCCTCAATCCTAGTCTAGCAGACTTGTTTTTTTAAAGGTATATTTCCCCTAGAGCCTTACTACTCTTGTCAGTACTCTTCATATTTTAATCCTAGCTAGGTCTTCTCTCATAGGACCCATCATATCTATTTCATAGTCCCTCAAAAATGAGGAGCAAGAACATACAAGCAAATCTATCCTGGTTTTTCATCTAACCTCCTTGTGCTTTGCTTGGCTACTGCAAACCTCCTAATCGGTTTTCTAGTAGTCTACCAGAAATGATAGTTCACTCACGACCTCCAGACAAGCAGTTTTGAAGTTTTAATATTTTGAATATATCAAAACTGTGACTTTTTCTACCTGTCCATGAGGCAGTCACTTCAGACCCATACATTTTTCTGAGATAGGGAGAGGAAAAAAAAAGAAAGGGGAGAAGAGGGGAGAAGAGGGGAGAAGAGGGGAGAAGAGAGATGGGAAGAGCGGTTGAGGAGGGAAGGCGTTTTCTAGTAGTCTACCAGAAATGATAGTTCACTCACGACCTCCAGACAAAAGCAGAGCTAGTTTTAATATTTTGAATATATCAAAACTGTGACTTTTTCTACCTGTCCATGAGGCAGTCTCA